TTTACCAGTGACTGTAGCGACGGGGGAACGATCATTCAGTAAATTAAAACTAATAAAACCTTTTAAAGAAATAATATGAACTAGAGCACTTAAATGATATTCCGTCCTAGTTATAGAAAGTAAAACAGACAAAGAATTATATCTAAAACATCTCATTGATGTTCTTGCCGATAAGAAGACCTGAAAAAAGAAAATTTAACCTTTCAATTTTTGTGTGTGTGCTTGTGCTTCTTGTTCTTCTATTTTATATTTTTCATTTCTAAAAGTATTTGTATTTTGACATTATGACTTTATATATGTGTTTATTACAAAAATAAGTAAGTAAATTGAATTTATTCTGTGCTTATATATATAGTGGCACAGCGACATGTCTGCGGACTTACACTTCTAGAAACCGGGTTTCGATACTCATGGTGGGCAGACCAAAGACAGCCCATTGTGTAGCTTTGTGCTAAACTACAGACAAACAAAATGAAAACTATTATTTCATTCAGCAATAAAAATGCTAAAAACAGTAATTGGTTAATTAACATAACTGAAAAGTATGGTATACAGATATTCGTCTGTTGGTGTAATCTAGATTGCAGGATGAGGACTACATGTACAGTTATAGTAGGAAACATTTGAAGATTAGAGATCTTAGTAACCCATGATCGATTTTCATCAGTGACTTACGTAATGAGTGGAATTCGTTTATTCCAGAAATACTAAATTAACTTAAAGGTCTAAGAGTTGAGGATCACTCTGAATGATAAAATTTAATATTGATGTCAGCTTTGCATTGAAAATGTTTTTAAAGAAATTAAAACTGCGACGTTTTCGCCCATAGAAACGGGCCATCTTCGGACAATGTACGATTAACAACAATTACAAATTTAAAGTGTAACTGTTATTCTCGGCAACGAGCGTGTTGAATTATTAATATTTAACATAGGTGGCAATAATTATTTACAAAAAATATAGAAGTAGAAGAAAATGTAGTGAGGAGTTATAAAGGTTATTATTAGTAAAGATGGAAAGAAGATTCGGGATATTTATTCAAAGAATGTTTTAACGTTTTGATAAGTATAGCTTCTGCAGTTTTGCTGCTGTTTATATCAGTTTCACTTCGCGTAATTGTAATATTTTGGGGGATATGGAGAGTCTGGTTTCTTTTAAATGTTCAAAAACGTAGGAAGGTCCTTTCAAATACTCTTTAATTGGTGTGTTTATATGTGTCGCATTTGATTTTATATGTTATTCCTTTGGCGCCCTTTTGTTTCGGATAATTACTTGCACCAGTAATGCTTTTTATTTTTGTTTCTGGCCTTTATACGATTAACATGTTGATGTTTCCATATTATAGCAAGTTTGTTACTGAAAGTTTCAATAATAATAATAACTTCCATATCCGAAAACAGCACTAAAATTCTACGAAGTGAAAATTATATAAACAGAAGATAAATCGCAGAAGCTATGCTGATCAAAACATTAAAATCTTCTTTGAACAAATATCCATGAACTTCTCTATATCTCTACTAATTATTCTTAATATAACATAACATAAAAGGACTAAACACTAAAGAACTCAAAGCCAATCCTAATCATTCAGATATTTATCAAGTTTCCCCTAAACTCCATTAAAGTAACTGCGTCTACCACATCTAAAAGCAACTTGCTCCATAAACCCAATATTCTCTTAAAAAATAAAGCTGTTATAGCTAAAGATGCCTTCTAACCTGCCAAAATTTATATCTCTGTCCCCTAGTCTTACCATTCTCACCATTAAATATGAAAAAATGATGCATGAACACTATCAATTCCCTTAACAATTTTAAACAACTCAATCAGCTCCCTTTAACTCTTCTTTTTTCAAGAGAAAACAATATCAGAGACCTTAACCTGTCCTCGTATGGCAATCTTTCCATACCAGGTATCATCCTAGTAGCCCTTCTATGAACCATTGAACCCTTTCCAACAATTCAATGCCATGTTGCGTCAGCGAGGTCACGTGACTAGTATCACGCCACCTGTTTCTAGAAATATCCTGTTTCTTCAAGAATGCCCTAGCATTTACTAGATAGTGTAGTCTTGTATATAAGACCGGCCACGAAGCGGCAAGGCAATGAGTAATTGAACTGCAGTCAGAGAGTGTGTAATTGAGTATTGTTGAAGTCGAGCACGTGAGACGTTTGTTATAGCGCGACTGTTCAAATTAAGTGTATCGCAAAGTTATATTCAGAAAGAATAAACCAGTTTTATTAAGAAAGGACTTGTATCGCTAAGTTTCGTCGGATCGAAGTTACGGAAAATTAACTAACGACTGGAGGCGTAACAGTCCTTTCTAAGGTAAGAAGCCCAAGGCTGAACAACACAGTATTCCAATAATAATAAATGTGTCCTAATAAATGACGTATACAGTGACATTATAACCTCTTTAGACTTGTATTTAATATTTCTGTAAATACAACCTAAAATCTTATTTGCGCTGCCACTAGTAACAGCACACTTCTTGATTCAGGATATCAAGATCCTTTTCTTCCATAACACTGTTAAGGTTATTTTCGCCAAAATTTTACTCATAATTCAACTTGTGATATCCCACATGCGTTACCTTACATTTATTATAATTAAAAGCCATCTGCCACTTATTCGCCTAACTAATCAAATGATCCAAATCCTTTTGTAAAGCACCCTCCTCCTCCTCACAGCCAGCAACATTCAAAACTTTGGTGTCATTGGCAAATCAATGTCATTAATGTAAATCAAAATGAGCAAAGGTACTGATACTGAGCCTTGAAGTACCCCATTCGTGAAATCAATCCACTTTGACTGAACTCCATTTATAACAATCTTCTGCTTTGTTCCATCTATTCAATTTTCTATTCAATGAACCAATCTATCCTCCCACACCTACAGGTCTAACTGTATTTGTATGTGTTTTGTATTTTTATATTTTCTATAAATAACTGTTGCCACATATGTTAAATATTTAAAGATAAACCTCTTCTATGGACTGGAACGTTGTAGTTTTGTTTAAAAGATCTCACTGCGTGGGCATTTACTACACCACTGTCTGTAATGATGGTCACAATATTAAATCTAAAGTATGTTGACTATGTATTTGTTTCGTTTGAAGTTCGCGCAAAGCTACACGAGGGCTATCTGTGCTAGCCGTCCCTAATTTAGCAGTGATAGACTAGAGGGAAGGCAGTTAATCAACCATCTACTAACTCTTGGGCTACTCTTTTACAAGTGGATGGTGGAATTGAATGTCTCATTATAACGCTCCCGCGGCATGTTTAGTGACGGGGATTCGATCTCGCGACCCGCATATTGGGAGTCGAGCACCCCTAACTACTATGTCATGCCTGTTGAATTAATAATTATTATTTAAAGGTCGTTATAAACTGTTTCATAATAAAACCATTCACATTGATAATATATTTCTTACTTTTTACAAAATATTATGAAATTATACTT